AATAAACAAAACTAAATTTTGTATCACAAGCACCAATCTTGTGATTAAAAGGTGAGTTTTCTCATGATAACTTTCCTACAGGAAGATTAGCTTTTACTCATTTAATATTAAGGACCCTGTGTCTGACAACCTAATTTCCCTCTTTTGAATTCAGTACATTTTAAAAGAAGTCCAAGATATTCAAGTGGAAAGGAATAAAGAACCTACATTCTTGGCACAGGCCTCCAGTAGAAAAGGCAATGAGCTGACCGACCAAGTGTCATCACATTACCTAGTCTTATGGAGACTGCAATGGAAGCTTGAGTAAGTTTTCTGGAACCAAAAGTAAGCCAGCACATGATATACTTTAATTTCCGTGAAGGCAGTACAAAAAGTGGCGGGGAAGCACGCCCTGGCCTGTCTCCACCTGGTCCTCTGCTGGGCTTTTCTTATGGAGGACGCTGCGGGCAGAGACCTCCACACGCATACAGGCACTGGGGAGAGGTCTACTGTTCTTACCAGAGATACAGTTTAAAAGTCCGGAAGTGACACCAATTCCTGCCTCCAAAATGAGGTATACTTGAGGGTTATTTCATTACATAGGGTGAAAAATGTTTAGCTTGGCTGTTATTCCATTCCCATCACCAATAAAACAGAACTTGATTGGTTCAGGACAAAAATTCTATACAAGTCCTTTTTAAAACAACCACAATACTCTTTCTAGAGGCAACCACAATACTCTTTCTAGAGGCTTGAGCATTTTTGGAAATGAAAATACTTTGTACTTAATCCCTCACATTCCCCTTCCCTTCTTTGGTGTTGGAGGCATTACAGCATGACTCAGCCGTGGACTGAATGATGTCTCTGGTGATTCCCAAGGTTGTACTTCTTTCCTAAGTAGTAAGCCCCTGGTACCTCAGTCATTTTGAAAACCTGGGTACATGAGCTCACCAAAAGCTTATTCATAAAATCACCACCCTACCCCATCCCCACAGGAAAGGATTCCAGAATAGAACTCTGGCCACAATCTACAAGGATCAGGTTCTCTGGAAGGATGTGGCTCCCTAGAAGGCTTTGTTTCCCATCTCCCATGTTAATGAAGATTTTATTCATCTCCTGCTCACTAGAGATCAGGAACCCCAGTGGCAAATGTTCAGCTCCCAAGGAAGGTATGCTGCAGAGGCATATGGCAAACTGCTTAAAAGATAAAAAAACTTGTGGTCAATAGACATGTGGAAGACACATCCCTCCCATGCATTCCAGAAGTTTAATAATTTGAGAATTCACACCCAGTAGAAAATTAGCCCTGAAGTCTCACCCAAGTCACCATGGCAGTTGTACAAAATGACTTTCCAGTTCTGCCTAGAACCATGATTCAATGTAGGACTTTAAAAAAGTAAAAGTATATGGAGAGACTGATAAAGATTTGACTTTGAAAAAGTAGAAGGAACAGGACACCAACTACCAACCTCAGGGCATGGTTTTTCAATATGCACCAATTGCTATAGCACTGCATGAGTTGAAAACGAAGACATTATTCTCCCATTTTAAGGAATTTCTTTTACAAAGTAAGGAAAGAAATTTTAAAAGAAGGTGGCTCTTGGGAATAAAAGAAATGAGGCTGTGAAATGTAATACCAGAAAGGTTTTGCTTACCAGAAACCGTAGCTTGAATCCCCCTGCCTTGAGTTTACAACTGCCGCCTCCTTTCCTAAGATTCACTTCTCATCCCAGTACCAACGTACAGGAGCTAAGCAACTGGAGAACCTGATACAGCGCTGAACAGTGCAGCCCCAGGCGGAGGGGGCATGAGTGATGGAGAAGAAATGCCTGCAATACCCACTCCCCCAGATGCTCATTATACAAAGCGACCCGACGCAGGAGCCCAAGGACGGGGCCTGCGCAGCAGTGGCATTGCTGTCACTCGGCCCCATCTGCCTGTTACTTGCACAAGCCCTAGCCTGTCTCCAGGATCCCCCAAGGCTCCCAGTCTAACTTTTCTACCCCTGGCAACTCAGGTGGGAATACTTCCAAGCAGTTGTGATGAGTAAAAGGTGAAAAGCATCAGGCTGTCAGTTAAAAAAACTAGAGCTGCCCAAGGACATGAGCAGCTTGAAGACCTAATTCCTGTGAGCTTTCTTTCCTTTTAAAATAAAGGCTTTAACAGACAATATTCTAAAGAAAGGAAAAGGTCTGCTCCTGGCTCCACGCCCTGGAGTGCAGAAGGCACAGGCTCGGGGGAGGGGTCCGGGGCGGGGGAGCCGATTGCATCAGCGCCCAGGACGCCCCTCCCCGGCGTTTCCGGGCGCGGCCGGCGGGGCGGGAGGAGCAGGAGCAGGAGGCAGGGCGCCATCTTGTCACGGAGCCTCAACAGGCCCCGCGCCGCCGCTGGTCACAGGAAAAAACACTTTTGGGGGGAAGGGGGGGTAAAAAAACAATAATAATCCTATCCCAGTCCCCCATCCTGAAGTCTTTGACCTATTTTGAATAAGAGCGTTGTGAAAGGAAAAGCAATTAAAATATTAACAATTTTATGCGGGGAAGAACTAACTTGCAATTGAGGTTCAACCTACCATCGACCACCCCCACCCTCCGAACAAAAGGAGGGGGGACTTGGACCCTCAACAGACAGGGTTGAGGACAAAATGGGAGACACAACCTGCAACACTGCTTGGAAGACAAAAGGACAAGGAAAGTCGCCATATTGAAGCAGGGAAGGAAAAGAAATCCTTTAACGACACAATCTCCTAGAAAGCTAGCATTCAAGTGCACTAAATGGCTTTAAAAATTATACTCCTGAATTCCACATTTCCCAACCTCCCCACCCTCTAGTTCCCATCAAAAAGTATCGTTAAAATGTTAACCTTTTGCTTTTAAATAACTTATGCAATCTCCAACAATTACAAAACATTTAAACTATTATCTTGTATGTACTGGCACTAAGATTATATTTTGTCCTGAATTAAGTGTCTTGCAATCTTTATTTCTAGATTGCCACCTACTTTAACCACAAATATACCCCAAGCACATTACATTAAATTGAGAGGATTTAACAATCTAAGTCACAGCCAGCTAGTACTTGTGCCCATCTCCTTACCCTGCAATCTTTATGTACAGATTGCTTATTAATCTGGCAAATTGAAAGGCGCCCTGCTCGTCTCACACACAAAGAAGTGGGCCTCCGGAGCACAAGATCCCCCATTTTTGTATGTGAGCTCATTAACCCTTTGGAGACTGCTGCCGAGGGAGGGCACCCTCCGTACAGCGCACTTGGCGCGGGCAGTCTGGCAATGGCTGGATTGCGAAGGGTTAACCGTCAAATCCTCCTCGCTGGCCTCCCGCCTGCAGGGCAGGGAGGGCAGGTGGCAGAGAACGAGACTTGGAGCCCAAGGCCCCTCTTAGTGGAGATGGACCGGCTCGGTCCTTCCTCCAGTCTCTATTTTGTTCTATGGTCTCATTTCTTCCTCTCATTATTTTTGGTTTCACCAAGGAAACGTTGATTTCTTGTTGCAAGGCTCGTTTTTCAAAATTCGACACTTACTATCCAATTTTTTTGCGACGTCAGCACCTCGGCTCAGGGGGAAGGGGGTTAAAATTTTGGAGAAAAAAAATAAACCCACCAACCGGAACCCAAAACTCTATTTGGGGGGCCTCATTGGATCAAAAAGTCTTTTAAAAAAAACAAAGGCCAACTCAGCATTCACGCCCCCCCCACCCAACTCCATTTAGGGAGGGGGGGTCATAAAAAAAAGTTCTGAGTTGATTAAAAAAAAATAAACGCTGGATAAGTGGACTTGGGTGGGTTTGGGGAGGGAGGGTGGTGGATTATTTTTGCAGTTATGTGGTGACGGTCCTTCGGCCACAGATTTCAAGTCCCAAGCAGCGTGGGCTGGTGGGTGGGCAAAGAGGTGGGAGAGGGCAGAAGACACAGTGGTTGGGCTGGTGGCTGCGGTTCCCCTTTCCCCCCGCTCAGGATCCTCTCAAGGGCTTAGATGTGGACGCGGCTCGTTTCTTTTTTCCTGGTGGCCGGCCTGTCTTTCTCCGTGAAAAGTCAAACCTGGGATAGAAAGAACACAAGGGGAGGAAGACGTAATCAGTACGGGCTGCTTTTTAAACACACCCCAGACGACCGCTTTCGCGGTCTCAAACACCTCCGTGTCCAGTCCGGAACTTTATATAAGCCGAAGCTCGTAAGTAAACGCATGCCAAATCCGTTTCCCAGGCCAACGCTCTCAGTAAAATCTTAACCCCCAACCGACAAGACACAAGAACTTACCTCTAAACGAACCCCAGAATGGCGGCTGTCCGCGCGGGCGGAGCCTTTTATACCCGGACACCACCCAGTGCGCCCAAATGTGTTGGTGCGTTTCCCTTGTCGCGAGACATTGTGCGCGAGGCGTAAATTCATTGGGTAACCCGAAAGACAACGCGCTAGCTGATTGGCTATCCTTCCTTCACCTTCGCTCAGCCCACTACCCACATCCCGTCACTCTCGGCACATTTTCCCGCCTCCTCCTGAGGAGGTGGGACGCGCGTGCGCATAACCGGAGAGACTAGCGCCTCCCTTTCCTCTGCCTTCACCACTTCCGCCCCCGAAAACATTTCTCATCCTCGGTTGGCGGAACCGGGCAGGCGCATGCGTACTGCGGGAACCTCGGCCAAAATCGCCTTCAAAATTGCTTAAAAGGCTAGCTCTAAGTATGAGACCTAAGAATCGTCGTGACTGGTTCATCAAAAACTCAGTTTTGAGGCCGAATTCCACTGTGACGCAGTTGAAATTAGCGTCTCTCCATGACCCGCCCCCTTCTCGCTTCCGTCCTGACGCAAGTGCGTGGCTGCCGGCCGCACTGCGGCGGGTCTTTGCCCCCGCCCTAGTCAGTTTCCGGGAGCATGCGCAGTAGCCTTGCCGACCATTCCTGGTTTGGGCGTGCGTCAAGATGGCGGCCTCCGTGGTGAATAAACTGCTGAGGCGCCTTCCTAAGCTTTCGTCCTTCAGGAGTGCCTACGGAGTTCAGGTAACTCCTTGGAGCACATTTTGTACAACCACTACTTAGTTATGCCTTCTAGATCGTCGCTCCACTTCTGGGGACCCGGGAGCGGAGACTTCCCCTAGTGCTTATGCCTCCGCTGTCTAGGCAATACTTTGCCTCCACCACTCTCCCCTGCTCCTCCGTAAATCTCCGGGCATTTTTAGAAAATCCTCACCGGAGGGTAAGTTTATTGACTTTTTTAAAGGAAGGGAGAGAGAGAAACATCGATCAGTTGCCTCCCGTGCGCGCCCCCGACCAGGGGTCGAACTGGCAACCTAGGTATGTGCCCCGACGGAGAGGCCAATCCGTAACCTTTGGTGTATGGAGGACGCTCCAACCCATTGAGCCATCCGGCCAAGGCAAAGAGCCAGGTTTAGATCCCATCCTCTTCCCAAATGGGCATCTTGGCTAAGCAACTAGGTGAGGAATGCCCCCTCCGACCCCAGCACGCACAGCCAACTCAGCTACAGACGGTGTCTAATCTGATGCCCTGGGGTCCCAGCACCGACTTGCCCAGTCCTGCTGTCTCCCAGGATGTGTCACCTCCACCTGGTGACGGTTTCTCAGCCCTCCATCTCACTAGATCAGCTGGTGATCAGAGCCTTCGCGAAGGGTTAACGCAGTCCTTTGGACCGAGGGTTCCCTCCAGCCTCATGGACTCACCGTTCTGACGGTCCTTGGTGGGCCGGTGGGGTTGGAAGACTTGCCCAGCTGCCACTCCCAGGGGGACTGAAGAGTGGCCACAGGGTCACTGCGGGAGCTAATGACAGGCCCTGGTAGCTTTACAGCTGGGCGTTAGGGACTCAAGTTTGCTCTTCCGTGTGGAATGTTGACCTTCAGCTTCTGTAAAGCTGGGAAACGCAGTGATCCTGGACTGGACTGAGCTGGAGATGCACCTGCCCTCCCATCCCTTCCCTGCCATACATCTTGCTTCCAAGGAGATAGACACCCCCACTTTTCCTTTCTTCGCCCTTTCCATCCACTAGACTCAATTCATCCCCAAAAGCATGAATACCTGATATGTGCCAGGTTTTTAAGTTGCCCTCCCCGGTAAGATGGCCTCTCAGTCACCTGTACTTGTTATCCTCTAATATTAGCATCTTTTAGGTCCCAGTTGGAGATTGGGAGAGTGGTTGTTGATAATGTCAGTTTAACCCCAACAAATATGCTACCTTCCACGTGTGTGTGTGTGTGTGTGTGTGTGTGTGTGTACATACAATGCTATATTCCATTAACACAATGGATGTGCGTGCCCCTTCTCCCTGAAGTGTTGGGAGCAAAACAATCGGGTTTCTGCTTTGAGTTCATTTTTTTGTTGTCCCTCTTTTATAGGTTCCCCTCCAAACTCTCAGCACTGAAGCCCCCCTTGAGGAAGATTCTTTGCCCATTTCCCCTTATGAGAATGAACCCTGGAAATACCTGGACTCAGAAGGTAACTCTAAGTGGGGAAGGGAGTGTCCTGTGGGGTGTGAAATAAATGGACAGAGACACTTCCTTCACCCTAACATTTGTGGTCTTTCAATTCAGAATACCAGACCCGCTATGGTTCTCGCCCCGTCTGGGCTGACTACCGACGCAACCACAAAGGTGGAGTACCTCCACAGAAGACTCGAAAGACCTGTATTGTGAGTTTCTGAGAGTGGCACATGGATGGGCTGGGAAGTGGGGGTGGAGACCACAGAGACAGTGGCAGCGGCATTTCTTCTGGCAGGGCTTGGAACATCGTCACCTCCCAATTTCTTCTCTCTACAGCGTAAAGATAAAGTTGCTGGGAATCCCTGCCCTATCTGCCGGGATCACAAGTTGCACATCGACTTTAGGGTAAGGAGAATCTTTTTTCCAGGATGAGGATTTGGAGCCTTTATAGGTTGCTAAAGAGATTGCCTGGCACCCCTACACTCCATTTTGCACTGGTTTCCTGGAACTATAAAAATATCTTCCCTCTAGTCATTTGCCCTCCACTATGGACTAAAAGTAAAAAGCTTTATCCCTATGAAATTGACAGTCTAAATTGGCAGGCAAGAAAAGTGCTCATTTCTAATGGGAGAACAATGCCCAAAAATTCATTTTATCCATCACAATTATTAGCAAGTAGATTGGACTGTTTTTTTCTGAGGTTTTATTTCCTTGTCATGTTGATGGTTGGTGGCAGCCTGAGACTTGCAGCTGGAGGGCAGGTACATAAGGCACTTTTTGGAAAAGCCTTCATTATGAGGAGGACAGGACTTGCTCCTTAAAGAATTAAAACCTTATAAAGCTGGTCATGGGAACGTGCTCTTCTGAGCTTGCAGTGAAGTAGTAGATCAGAAGCTGAGTGCCTGGTTACTACAGAAGTCGGAGGGCATTTGTGTGTCAGTGGATGAGGGCATGTGACTGTTCTCAGCCCCCTTCTGACACAAGTTGTAGAGGAGTCCAATAGGTAACTTCTCAATTTCAACTGTGTACAATCTAGAATAATAAAAACATAATATGCTAATTAGACCGGATGACCTTCCAGACAAAGCTGGGGCTGTGAGGGAAGCCGGGGTCCCCGGTGCCGGCAGCCAGGGGAAGGAAGGCCTACTCTTGCACGAATTTCGTGCATCGGGCCTCTAGTTGATTAATAAAAAGGTATTGTAACCAATTTTATACAGTTTATAATCACATAACAAGGGAGAGAGAAAAGTTACAAATTTAATGGTGTGGATGATTCTACCTGCCATTCCAACTCCACATGTACCTGCGTTTTCCTTGGGTCTCATTTCCTTTGATTAACTTGCTAGCTGAGAGTCATTCTATATCATTAACTTTAAAATTGATTGGAGTCATTCATACATGCACAGTATATGTTGTGCATGTATGAATGCACATACACTATTTTTCTGGGTGATTTCAGAGAATGCCAGCTGTCCCCAGTTTTTTGCATGAGGGTTGATTTCAGAGCCTAACCCCCGGCGAGGAGCATTCTCTCTGAGTCTCAGTGACAAAGTGTAGGATGTGCATGTGAAGTGGGTGAAAGACCAGGAAAGGGGAACTGTTTGCTGGAGTTTTCATGAATGTGTCCAGTAAAGTGATGGGACTAAAACTGGGACATGAGGAGGGCAGCATCTGGAGAGGCAACGAGGGGTTCAGGTCATCTGTGTGGTGTGTAGGGATTGTGCACTGCCAGTCTCTCAAGGTCCTGCTCTCCCCCCACTCCTTTCTCCACCACTTTCCCCCAGAACGTGAAGCTCCTGGAGCAGTTTGTCTGTGCCCACACAGGCATCATCTTCCATGCGCCATACACAGGTGAGCCCTTCTTCCTTGTCCCCCCAGAATAGCTTTTCCTGGGAGCACTTTATTCGGTCAGACAACAGGTATGTGGCTCCTACCATGGCATAAAAAGTGCGATCAAACTTTTGGAAATCCTGGCTTACTGGGGATACTCACATGCTAAAAACCGTTACATGTGGACAAAAGATGCAGGCTAGTGTCATTGTAAGCAAACCTTCTAAAGGTAGATCTTGAAACATAAGTGGTGGTGATTTTCTTTCTTTAGGGCTTTTTATGTGTGTGTGTGTTAGTGGTGGTGGTGGGGGTTTTTTTGTTTTTTGTTTTTTTTTAGAGAGTGGGAGAAAGAGAAATATTCACAGGAGAGTGAAACATCAATCAGCTGCCTCTCACATGCCCAATCCTGGGAATTGAGCCCGAAACCTGGGCATATACCTTAACCAGGAATCAAACCAGCAACCAGCCACACTGGCAAGGGCAGGGCTCTTCACTTCTACAGAAAGCTCTTGCCCTAGCTGGCTTGGCTCAGTGGATAGAGCGTTGACCTGCGGACTGAAAGGTCCCAGGTTCGATTCTGGTCAAGGGCACATGCCTAGGTTGCAGACTTGATCCCCAGTGTGGGGCATGCGGGAGGCAGCAATCCATGATTCTCTCTCATCATTAATGTTTCTATCTCTCGCTCCTTCTACCTCTCTGAAATCAATAAAAATATATTTTAAAAAAAAGCTTTCCTATAAATTTACCATCCTGTAAGTTCTTTTATACTGTTGACAATCAATTAGATTTCCCAAGTTTGGAATTGTAAACTTAATAATTCAAGATTACATCTAGAAAACCAAGATGGCAGCATAGGTAAACACCGGAGATTGCTGCTTAGCACAACCAATTCAAGAATACAACTAAAAGACGGAATGGACATCATCCAGAACCACAGGAAGGCTGGCTGAGTGGAAATTCTACAACTAGAAGGAAAGAGAAAAGCATACTGAGACTCAGAGGAGCTGCGGTGCGGAAGTAAAGTACAGAGGTACGGAGGTGCACGCAGAGAGGGCTGGCGGCTGAGGACACGGTTATCTTTTTCATTCGGGAGGGAGTCTCAAGCTCTGAGCTCCAGTTCCGGGCAAGTCTCTGGGGACCCAGACTCATACGGGAGAAACTGGACTGTCTGGCATCGGTCGAAACTCGAAGGCAGCTTTCTCTCGGGGGTGCTTGCAGCGATTGCCGGGACACTGAGAAGCAGGGCCTCTGAGGGCAGCCATAGCTGCTTGCTCCGCCCTGTTGATCCCCTGGGACCCCCACCCCGCCCCGCCCAAGCTGTGCGCTGGCTTTTGCATATGAAAGGCCTGGCCCTTTGCAATCTGATAATTACCTAACAAACTGCAGCTGGCCCAAGGCCCCAAGGCAACTCGCATTGCTTGACAGCTGAGCTCCTGCTGGGTAGCCTCAGGCAGAGGCTAGATTAGCACCTCCTTAGAGATCCAGGTGCCAGTGTGCCCGGTGGTCAGAGTGGGACCATCCAGATTGCAGCTCCTCGGATTCATAAAGGACACACTCAGGGGGCAGACTCAGTGAGCACCAAAGCCCCACTGAAGCAAGTCTTGCCCTGGAGGGGTGTCTCTAGCACAGAAGTTCTCCCACTGCAGACACAGATGATTCTCAGCCAATTGGCCTGGAGGTCAATTCCTCCCAGTGTTACCTACAACAATCAAGGTTTAACTACAACAAGACTGTGCACAAAGCCCACAAGGGGGTGCACCAAGAGTGTCCACCTCAGGTAATTGGGGAGGCTGAGTCACTGGGCCCTATAGGACACCTAGCACAGAAAGCCACTTTATCAACACAGGGAAGCATAAAAAATGCGGAGACAAAGAAACAGGACACAAATGACAGAAATGGAGGAAAGTAAACTACTGGATATAGAGTTCAAAACCACACTTTTAAGGTTTTCAAGAACTTTCTAGAAACCGCCGATAAATTTAGTAAGACCCTCAAAAAGTCTGGTGAGACTGCCGATAAATGTAGTGAGACCCTCAAGAAATCTAGTGAGACCCTCGAGGTTATGAAAAAGCACCAACTAGAAATTAAGCATACACTGACTGAAAGAAAGGATATTATGCAGAATTCCAACAGCAGACTAGAGGATCGCAAGAATCAAGTCAAAGATTTGAAATACAAAGAAGGAAAAACACCCAACCGAAAAAGCAAAAAGAAAAAAGAATCCAAAAATACGAAGATAGTGTAAGGAGCCTCTGGGACAGCTTCAAGTGTACCAACATCCGAATTATAGGGGTGCCAGAAGAAGAGAGAGAACAAGATATTGAAAACCTATTGGAAGAAATAATGACAGAAAACTTCCCCTACCTGGTGAAAGAAATAGACTTACAAGTCCAGGAAGTGCAGAGAACCCCAAACAAAAGGAATCCAAAGAGGACCACACCAAGACACATCATAATTAAAATGCCAAGAGCAAAAGACAAAGAGAGAATCTTAAAAGCAGTAAGAGAAAAACAGTCAGTTACCTACAAGGGAGTACCCATACGACTGTCAGCTGATTTCTCAACAGAAACTATGCAGGCCAGAAGGGAGTGGCAAGAAATATTCAAAGTGATGAATAGCAAGAACCTACAACCAAGAGTACTCAACCCAGCAAAGCTATCATTCAGAATTGAAGGTCAGATAAAGAGCTTCACAGATAAGGAAAAGCTAAAGGAGTTCATCACCACCAAACCAGTATTTTATGAAATGCTGAAAGGTACCCTTTAAGAATAGGAAGAAGAAAAAGGTAAAGATACAAATTATGAACAACAAATACACATCTATCAACAAGTAAATCTAAAAATCAAGTGAATAAATAATCTGATGAACAGAATAAACTGGTGATTATAATAGAATCAGGGGCATAGAAAGGGAGTGGACTGACTATTCTTGGTGGGGAAAGGGGTGTGGGGGGATGCGGGAAGAGACTGGACAAAAATCGTGCACCTATGGATGAGGACAGTGGGGGTGAGGGCGGAGGGTGGGGTGGGAACCGGGTGGAGGGGAGCTATGGGGGGAAAAAAGAAACAACTGTAATAATCTGAACAATAAAGATTTAATTTAAAAAAAAAAAAAGATTACATATAGGCCCTGGCCGGTTTGGCTCAGTGGATAGAGCGTTGGCCTGTGGACTCAGGGGTCCCAGGTTCGATTCCAGTCAAGGGCATGTACCTTGGTTGCAGGCACATCCCCAGTAGGGAGTGTGCAGGAGGCAGCTGATCGATGTTTCTCTCTCATCGATGTTTCTGACTCTATCCCTCTCCCTTCCTCACTGTAAAAAATCAATAAAATATAATTTTTAAAAAAATGTAGGAAGTTTTAAAAAAAGATTACATCTAGTCCTAACCAGTTTGGCTCAGTGGTTAGACCATTGGCCTGTGGACTGAAGGGTCCTGGGTTCGATTCCGGTCAAGGGCATGTACCTTGGTTGTGGGCACATCCCCAGTAGGGAGTGTGCAAGAGGCAGCTGAATTGATGTTTCTAACTC